ATTGTTTTGGGTTTGTTATGGTAGGTCTTTTCCTTCTCTTGTGTTTCCTGCCTAGAGAAGTTCCTTTAGCATTTGTTGTAAAGCTGGTTTGGTGGTGCTGAATTCTCTTAGCTTTTGTTTGTCTGTAAAGGTTTTAATTTCTCTGTCGAATCTGAATGAGATCCTTGCTGGGTAGAGTAATCTTGGTTGTAGGTTTTTCCCTTTCATCACTTTAAATATGTCCTGCCACTCCCTTCTGGCTTGCAGAGTTTCTGCTGACAGATCAGCTGTTAACCTTATGGGGATTCCCTTGTATGTTATTTGTTGCTTTTCCCTTGCTGCTTTAAAAGTTTTTTCTTTGTATTTAATTTTTGATAGTTTGATTAATATGTGCCTTGGCATGTTTCTCCTTGGATTTATCCTGTATGGGTCTCTCTGCACTTCCTGGACTTGATTGACTATTTCCTTTCCCATATTAGGGAAGTTTTCAACTATAATCTCTTCAAATATTTTCTCAGGCCCTTTCTTTTTCTCTTCTTCTTCTGGGACCCCTATAATTCGAATGTTGGTGCCTTTAATGTTGTCCCAGAGGTCTCTGAGACTGTCCTCAGTTCTTTTCATTCTTTTTCTTTATTCTGCTCTGTGGTAGTTATTTCCGCTATTTTATCTTCCAGGGCACTTTTCCATTCTTCTGCCTCAGTTATCCTGCTATTGATTCCTTCTAGAGAATTTTTAATTTCATTTATTGTGTTGTCCATAATTGTTTGCTCTTTAGTTCTTCTAGGTCCTTGTTAAACGTTTCTTGTACTTTCTCCATTCTTTTTCCAAGATTTTGGATCATCTTTTCTATCATTATTCTGAATTCTTTTTTCAGGTAGACTGCCTATTTCCTCTTCATTTGTTTGGTCTGGTGGGTTTTTACCTTGCTCCTTCATCTGCTGCATATTTCTCTGTCTTCTCATTTTGCTTAACTTACTGTGTTTGGGGTTTTCTTATCGCAGGCTGCAGGTTCGTAGTTCCCGTTGTTTTTGGTGTCTGCCCCCACTGGGTAAGGTTGGTTCTGTGGCTTGTATAGGCTTCCCGGTGGAGGGGACTGGTGCCTGTGTTCTGGTGGATGAAGCTGGATCTTGTCTTTCTGGTGGGCAGGACCGTGTCCGGTGGTGTGTTTTGGGGTTTCCGTGAACTTAGTATGAGTTTAGGCAGCCTCTCTGCTAATGGGTGGGGTTGTGTTCCTGTCTTCCTAGTTGTTTGGCATAGGGTGTCCAGCATTGGAGCTTGCTGGTTGTTGAGTGGAACTGGGTCTTAGCTTTGAGATGGAGATCTCTGGGAGAGCTCTCGCCGATTGATATTACCTGGAGCCAGGAGGTCTCTGGTGGTCCAATGTCCTAAACTCGGCTCTCCCACCTCAGAGGCTCAGGCCTGACACCCAGCTGGAGCACCAAGACCCTGTCAGCCACACGGCATCTTGATCCCCAAGAAAGCTGCTCACTGGATGCACCACCACAGTGGGGATCCAAGGGGCTCACTGGGAACACGAAATGATGCCACTGCTCAGCCTTGGGCACCTGAGGGATGACCTGGATGCTCCAGGGGCACCGACCAGGGCAGGGCAAGAAGAACTCCCGCTCAACATATATTTTTGAAAAATCTGTGGGGAAGTTCTGACAGCACTGGAGTGGTCTGGGGGCTGCTCCCTATAAACTCTTATAACTAATAAACTGAAGCCACCAGGACAAGCCTCACACTGGGGAGAATGGCAGTAACTGAAAAAGAAATGCCAACAAAACCAATTTTAAATGAGCTAAGAAAAATTAAGAGAATGACAGAAGTTATGAAAAACAAAGAACTCAGAATTAGAAATACTTAGAGATTAGGTGACTTAGTAAAAGAAAAGCTTAATGAAGAAATGAAAGAATTCAGGAAAGCAAAGTAAAACAGAACAAAACAAAATTTCTGAAATAAAAACTAAACTGGCAATACACAAAAGCAAATAAGTGCAATAGATAATGCCTTAAAGTTTTTTTATATTTAAAAAAAGTTTTTTTTAACTTTTTCCTTTCTTAAAAAAATCTATTTATTTATTTATTTATTTATGGCTGCTTTGGGTCTTCATTGCTGCGTGTGGGCCTTCTCTAGCTGCGGCAAGTGGGGGCTACTCTTTATTGTGGTGTGCGGGCTTCTCATTGTGGTGGCTTTTCTTGTTGAGGAGCACAGGCTCTAGGCGCGCAGCCTTCAGTAGTTGTGGCACGCGGGCTCAGTAGTTGTGGCACACGGGCTTAGTTGCTCCACGGCATGTGGGATCTTCCGGGACCAGGGTTCGAATCCATGTCCCCTGCATTGGCAGGTGGATTATTAACCACTGTGCCACCAGGGAAGTTCCTAAATTTATTTTCACTTTTTTAAATTTGTGGCCACACCATGTGGCTTGTAGGATTTCAGTTCCCTGACCAGGGAATGAACCTGGGCCATGGCAGTGAAAGTGCCGAATCCTAACCACTAGAGCATCATGGAACTCCCTTAAGTTTTCTTAAAATGAAGATGGGAAAGAGGAAATTTTTTTAAATTAAAAAAATGAAGGGATTGAAAGTGGATTCTAGATAAAGTGATAAATAGGAAAGATGGAGAAGATTCAACATATGAAGTCACAATAACAATTCAAACATCACAAAAAAGATAAACAACCAGACATTATGTATTTCCTGACAGAAGGACACAATACCACTCGGAGTTAGGGTCAGGACTATGAAGCAGTCTTGCACTCCCAAAATCTAGCCTGAATCTGATCAAGCCACTGAATCTCATTGCCAATTTACAAGAAATAGAAGAGAGAGAACATGCTAAATGCCAAGAAAGGGAAATCCTACAGGACAAAAGCCTGGTCTGTTAAAAATGACGAAATAATTGCAAGAAAATACAACAGACGGAGAGAATATACAGAGTAAAAGAAACACCCAACCCAAGTATAGGATAACGCTAACCCTTGTTTGGATCCCAATGCAAACTGTGAACAACAAAAACAAACAAACAAAAATATTTAAAGACAACTGGGGAAGTACAAACACTGGCTGGATAGCTAATAATATGAAAAGATTACGGCTCATTTTGTGGGGAGATGATGACGGCATCATCTGAAAAATGAAATCCTCATATTTTACTCATCTAATTGAAATATTTACAGGTCAACATTATGACGCTTGGGATTTGCTACAAGAAAACCCAGGGGATGGAGATTTGGAAATGTGGGAAGTTATAGGGGAGAGAAGACTGGACATAGTTGATAGCTGTTGAAATTGGGTATTGTGTACTCTGTTGTGTTTTCCCCACCACACACCTGCTGTTCTCTGCACACGCCAGCCAGTGTCCAACAACTCAATTCAATTCTGACACAAACTACCTGGGGTTAGTGCAGACCCTGCAGGTCAAGGCTCAGCCCCACAAGACGGCCCCACTTCAGGCACCAGCCCCAAGTCCAGGGCCTCCTGTACTTCCGACCAAACAGCTATAAATAGGGGGTTCCCACGACCCCTCCTCAGGGTCCATCATTTGCTATAATGGCTCACAGAACTCGGGAAAGCACCTTATTTACGACACCCGTTTATTATAAAGGCTACAACACAGGAACTGCCAGGTGGAAGGGATGCGTAGGGCAAGGCATAGGGAGGGCGCGTAGAACCTCCACACCCTCTCCAGGTGCACCACGCTCCCAGCACCTTGACGAGCTCACCTAGGAACCCCACCACTGAGGGGATTTTATGGAGGTTTCGTTACATCAGTATGATTGATTAAGTCACTGGCCACTGGTGATTAACTTGCTCAGGGCTGGCCTGCTCCCCTTCCTGGAGGTCTCAGGTGGGACGGAGAGCACGACTCCTCTAATGGTTCTGCTTCTTCCTGTTGACCACGCCCACCCTAAAGCCATGGGGGCCTCCAGGCGCCAGTCCTCCATCAGCATACAAAAGACACTCCTCGGGCTTCCCTGGTGGCGCAGTGCTTGAGAGTCCGCCTGCCGATGCAGGAGACGCGGGTTCGTGCCCCGTTTCGGGAAGATC